GATCACATGGTGTACCAGTCACTTGGACTAATTGTTTCCATGTGTCTTTGATTTTCTTCATTCTTCTTTGCTCTGGATGAGGAGAGACACATCATTGTATCTAGATGGTCACTTGCAAGCTTTTAAGATCCCAATCACTACTCCCCAAATTAGGATGTGAAACAATGTTTTGTGTAGTATGTTATGCCAATTGAGCTTGATGTCCCCTGCGACTATGGTCACAAACCCACAGGTCTAACTACTCACTCCCTCTGCGTTGCTGACTATGACCAAGAAGTGACTACAACCTTGTCCCTTGTTCAACTCTGCAATATGTTTTAAAATAACTTTTTGTTAGGATTTGAGTGAAAGTTTACAGAACAAATTGGTTTCCCATTCAACAATTCATACATTTTTTAAGATTGATCACAATCCCCACAATGCAACAGCACTCTTCCAACTTTTTCCCTGTGTCTCCCATTTCCATGCCTCCTTTCCTATCCCTTCCTGCCTTTTGAAGGCGCTCTGGTGGCATAATGTTTAAGGCATTTGACTGCTAACCAGAAGGTTGGTGGTTCAAACCCATCAGCCACTCCACGGAAGGAAGATTGGGCAATCTACTTCCGTAAAGATTTACTGTCTTGGAAACCCAAAGGGGGTTGCTATGAGTTGGAATTGACTCAGTGGCAGTGAATTTGGTTTGGTTTGGCTTGCCTTCTGAGCTTTATGTCTGGACAAATGCTGCCCTTTTGATCTCCTGTAGATGAGTGTTCTAAGGAGTACGTGTTACTGTTCACCTTATAGGACAGTCATCATTTGGCGGAAAGTCACGCAGGTGAATTTGGTTCCAGGCTTAAAGGGTGGCTAAGGTCATAGACTTGAGGGTTCCACCAGTCTCTATCAGACCAGTAAGCATGGTCTTCTTTAATGATTTTGAGTTTTCCATATTTTTCTCCCACTCTAACCAGGACTTCCTATTGTGATCCCTTTAAGAGCAGTCAGCAGTGGTAGCTGGGTACCATCTAGTTCTTCTGGTCTCAGAGTCATGGAGACTGGGGTTCTCATAGTCCATTAGTTCTTTAGACTAATTAATTCCTTGTGTCTTTGATTTTCTTTATTCTTCTTCACTGCAGATGGGGTGAGACCAATAGTTGCATCTTAGATGATCACCCATAACCTTTTTTTTAAAAAAATTTTTATTGTGATTTGGGTGAAAGTTTACAGAGCAAATTCACTTTACATACAGCAGTGCACATCCACTTTGTCTCATGACATTGACTGCAATTTCCCACAATGCAACAGCTCCCCTCCCACTTCCTCCCCACACTCACAGCTTTTTAAGACCCCAGTCACTGCTCACCAAAGTAAGATGCAGAATCTTGTCTCTGTGGACTGTGTTATGCCAATTATTTTTTATTTTAAAAACTGATTTTTGTTGTTGTTGTTACTGAGAATATGCCTAGCAAAATGTACACCAATTCAAAATTCCTCCACGTACAATTCAGTGATGTTGTTTGACCATTACTTTTTCTGAATTTTTCCTCCACTGGTAACATAAACTCACGGCACTCTAAGTTTCCTATCTAACCTTTTGTCAACCCTGCAAATACTTATTAAATGCATACAAAGTAAGAGACACCAGGCTGGTGCTGGGGATATAGAAATAAATAGTGAAGGAAGACAGAAGATAAGCACTTGAAAAAATCATGAGATAAATTCAGATAATGCCAGTCAGCCACTAGGAGGGGGCAGCCGGCTGACAGGATGGAGGTTGTCCTTGAGGGGCGAAGGGCTCCTGTTAGGGGTACCTCTAGCAAGAGGTGACATTAGAGCTGAGATGTATACAACCAGAGGGACCCAAGGGTGCAAACGTGGGGGAAGAGAGTTCTAGTGTGAGCAAATGACCAGTGCAAAGGTCCTGTGGTTGGAAGGAGAGTGGTGAGTTTGAGAAACAGCAGAGAGACTGGTATGGTTGGAGCAGAGCATGGAAGATGAGGATGGAGAGAGAGGCAGGGGGCAGGAGACGAGGCTCTTGGTAAAGCATTTGGATTTTATTTTCAGCCAATCAGTGTCACTTCTCTGGGCCCCAGTTTCTTTGTCTGTAAAATAAGAGCCCCTGATAGGACTGAGGTCCTTGGCTGGAGCCCATGGCTTGCACTCAGCTCCTAACTGAAAGGTTGGCAGTTCGAAGCAGGCCTGGTGATCTGCTTCCATAAAGATCATATCGCCAAGAAGACCCTGTGGAACAATTCTCTGTAACACACGGGGTCATCAGGAGTCAGAATTGACTCAGCAGCAGTGAGTCTGGGTTTGGTTTAATAGCACTGACCTCTTAGGGTTCCTGTGAAGTTTAATGTGATGAGGAAGTATGCAACTTCCTTAGCACAGATGGGGTTTGGCACGCAGAAGGCGTTTAACACGTGGGATTGACTGTTACTCTTGATATGAGATGGGGCTGGGGAAGGAGTGGCTCAGAGCCTTCTGCGCGAGCAGAGTCCCCTGCTCTGACCTGTCCCCTTGCCTCAATAGGTTACCCAGGCTTCCAAGCCACGACCTACGCCAGCCGGAGTTACACAGGCCTTGCCCCTGGCTACACCTACCAGTTCCCTGGTAAGTCCTGCTTGGTGTCCCTCCACTGCCAGCATGACCTTGGCTCCCGGGAAGTCTGATATCCTCAGGGCGGTGTCTGGGGGTGCATGGCTGGGGGGTCTGCCTGCTGGAGGCTTGGAAGGAAGGGTAAATCTGAGGAAGGAGCGTCTCCCCTTCTAGTCCCCTTCTCACCCCTTCCCCAGGAGCTGGAGCGGGGGCTTTGTGCGTGGCCCTGCATGGCACATTTCTCTCCCAGGCCATCTCCACCTGCCTCCTGCCTCCCTCTCCTTCCCACCCTACTCTGGAGTTGCCACTTCCACTGAAGAGGGCATTGGGCTAGTGGTGAGGGGACCTCCCTGAGGACTGACACTGAGGCACTTTGACATCAGGATATTTACATTGACCAGAGGTCCTTGAGTGGCTCAGGTGGCTACTAACCTAACCCAGTGGCACCACGGAAGAAAGGCCTGGCTATCTGCTTCCATAAAAATTACAGCCAAGGAAACCCTATGTAGCAGTTCTCATCTGTCTTCGTGAGTCAGAATTGACTCAATAACAAGGGGTTGGGTTTGGTTTATAATAACTAGGTGCTATATGCTGAGCTCTTTCAGGGCCAGTAGAGACCCTCTGAAGCCCTAAATACTGAAAAAAAGAAAGAAAAAAAAAAAGTGATGGCACTCCTCATTTGTAATTCAAAATAAAAATAACACTAGTCCTTAAAATAAGTGGCAGAAAGCCCAGCAAAATTTTGCACTTTCCCATGATGACTATTGAAGCTGTTATCTTTGAAATATCAAAGAACCAAATTCTTACAAAACTTTTTTCTTACTGTTCTTCCTTCTTTTTCAGAGGGTCCCTAAGCACTTGCATCATCTGCCTCTTGGGCTCTCCATTAGGTTGGAATCCTATCTATGCATTTTTTGAAAAATGATATTGGATCTGACTCATAGCATCCCCTCCTGGGGTTTCCGAGGTGGTTTTACTACGGAAGTACGGAAGTAGAATGCCCAATCTTCCTTCCAAGGAGTGGCTGGTGGGTTTGAATTGCCAGCCTTCCGGTTAGCAGTCAAGTGCCTTAGGCGCTATGCCACCAGAGCTCCTTTTTTTTAATTATTATTATTTTATTTTATTGGGTTTTCTGTGAAGGTTTACAAAGTAGTTCAGGTTCCCGCTCAGCAATTTGTACACAGCTTGTTCAGTGACTTTGGTTCCATTCTTCACAATGCGTGAACATTCTCATGATTTCTATTCTGGTGGTTCTGTTTCCGTTCATCTAGTATCCCTGCCTCCTTACAGTCTCATCTTTGTTTTAAAGTCATTGTTGACTGTTTGGCCTCCTATTGGTGATTTCCTTTGTATGCATCTTCTTGTCTCCTCACAGTCATCTCAAATGTGAGGTATGATTTAGTCCTATTTCATGAGGAAACAGGCTCAGAGAGGAGAAATGACTCTCCAAGATAACTCAGCGAGGAAGTAGAGGAGGTGGGAATCGAACCCAAGCCCACCCTGTTTGAGGACCACCACTCTTCATCAATGCTGCCTCCCCAGCTCCCCACACACAAAAAGGGGATTCTGAGAGATGTTTTTGGTACATTTCTAAGCCTTTTATTTCTTTAGTTAGTTTAATTTTTTCTTTTACCTTTTAAACATTTTATTGTAGTAAAAATATGCGTAACACAGCATAGCCCATCTCAACAGCTTTTACATGTACAGTTTGATAACATCGATTACATTTTTCAAGTTGGGGAGCCATTCTCTTTTTTTTTTTCTAAATCATTCCACCACCATTCACAGAAACTCACTGTCCCCTAAGCACAAACCCCCTTTCAATCCTAAGCCTTTTAAGAAATAGCCAGAAGGTTAGGTAGGAGGCTTAGGGGCCAAGAGTTTATGTTAAGGGGGGAGGAAAAATTTGGACCAGGAGGGTGGGAATGGTTGCACAGCTCGTCACTGACTTGTACATGTAGAAATGGTTGAGTTGGTATATGTTCAGCTGTGTATGTTTTCAACAACAACAAAATATTTAAAAAAAAAAAAAAAAAGCAAGCAAGAAAGAAACAGCTAGGCCCAGGACTGCAGCTCTGCCATGTCCAGGGTGTAGGTGGCAACTCCTGGCACACTCTCTCATTCTATGTCTGTCTCCTGCCCTCCTTCCCCTGCCTGCGGGGGACCACGTGTGCTCCCACCCCCAGCTCCTGGGTCCTGTGCATGGCCTGTCCCCCACTCAGTGTCCCTGTGGGTGCATTGTCCCCCCTGGGCCATGCCCCAGGGGCCTCCCCTGCTTCCTCCTAAGCTGTTTTACGTTTTGTTTTAGAATTCCGTGTAGAGCGGACCCCTCTCCCGAGCGCCCCAGTCCTCCCCGAGCTTACAGGTCAGTCGCTCGGATTTCGTGCACCTCACAGGCCACAGGGCGAGAGAGCGAGAGCAGACCCAGGGACCTTCCTGGGGAGAGCTAGCCGGGACCCCTTTCTGCTGCCTGCCGGCCCTCCGGGGGCATTGGGCAGTCCATGTCATACTACCTGGCCCTTAAGGGTGGGACATCAGGCCAGGCCCAGCAGGTGGAGGGAAAGTCACTGATCCATCCACTTGACAAATGAACTAACCGTGTGCCAGGCACACAGTCAGCCCTGGGAGCCAATGGCCTGTAAACCAGGATCTCAAACTCAGAGCAAAGTGGGCCGGGGGCGGGGGGGGCCTGTGCAGTTTGGAGTAGATGTGCCCCTTGGTTCCAGCTGACCCTGCCAGTGCTGTTTGATATCATTTTTCTAGACAAGCCAGAAACCTGGCTTTTGCTCTAGGTATGAAACTTTTAATTATCTTTAAATGTTGGCAACAAGCTCCAAAATTTCACAACACTGTGGGGGCCGAATGAAATATATCTGAGGACCGAATGCAGCCCTTTGGGCATGTAGGAAGAACTTGGCTGGAACCAACTGGAACTTTGTCTTGGGCCAACCCACTCAGCTTTGGAGCTGCGGATGAGGCTGGCGGGGGGGGGTACATGTGCAGATGAGGTGGACTGCAAGGCGTTTCTCTGTTTCACCTGCTTCTCCCCCACCCCCAGACTCTTTCCACCCCCCCACCCCGACAGTGTGTGGAGGATGTGAACATGGCTGTTGCTTTAGATGAGACCTTCCTTCCAAGAGGTGGTCAGGGGTTCTCTTCCCAAAAGTGAGGGAGCAAAGGAGAAATATGGGGGGAAGGAAGGGGAAGGAGGAGAGAGTCCTGGGGTGGGGGTGGCAAGAGGCTCTTCCCTGAGCAGATGAGCATTTGAAAAGCAATTTGGGGGTGAGGGGTCTTTTCCATTCATTCCAGAAATAAAAGATGAAGATCTACTGGGCATGGGACACTCTGCCAGGCCCTGGGGGTACAGCAGTGACAAGATAGAGCCACCTTTGGCTCTCACAGAAGTCTGGAGAGGGAAGCCAGTACTTAATATACAAACAGAATTTCTTTACGGTTGCGATCAGCACTTGCTTGAGGGTGGCATCTCTGATACTGCTCTGTGGAAATGTGTAAATAGACCAAGATACGGAGCCTTGCCCCTGGCCTCAGAGAACTGAGGAAAGACACATCCCCTCTACAGATACCTTGGAGCCCCTGGGTGGTGGAAATGGTTAGTGCACTTGGCTGCTAACCGAGAGAGTGTAGGTATGAATCTCCTAGTGGCACCTTGGAAGAGAGGCCTCGTGGTCTTCTGAACCATCAGCCACTGAAATCCCACAGTGCACGGTTCTGCTTGGACACACGTGGGGCCGCCATGAGTTGGAATCGACCCCATGGCAACTGGTTTCCCGGTCCAGTTGCCTCAGGTCCAGTTCCAGGGCCAGGGTTGCCAAAACAGCGCCAAGGGGTGCACCTTGGCATGGAAGACTGGTGTTCTTGAGAGCTTGCCAAACTCTGAAGCCCCTCTCTCGGCTGGAGTTGCAGCCCCTCAAGGGCTGCAGTAGCTGAGTGAGGCAGTAGGGGGCGCTCATACCTCTGCCCAAGCAATACCCAGCTCCGGCTCAGGGGTTATTTAAGCAGAGGCTACTTCTGTCCCTTCAGCAGACATTTATTCAACACCCACTGTGTACAAGACAAGGCTTTAGATTGCTGTGGGAGGGAAGAGGTAGACAACAAACAGGAAATAGCAAGGCTCTTGTGTCTTAAGAGGGGATCACAGAAAAGGCCCTGAGGGAATGAGCGGGAGTGGTCATTCCTGGCACAGTGGTCAAAGTGGCCCCCAGACACAGTTTACTAAAGGTGTGCTCTCAGGAGAAGTGCAGTGAGGGCAGCAGGAGAAGGCAGCTAAGCAAAGATGAGTCTAGCTTCCTCCTGATCCTTGGGAGCTCCAGGGGGTCAACTGTACCACAGAACAGGGTCTTGTCTTGAGGGGGATGGTAGCCCTTCTGTGCCTGTGGCGGTCAGTCATGGGCGGCAGTCTACTGGAGTCAACATGAGGGACATAGCCTCCCAGGGACCTCTGGGCAAGGTGCCCCCTGTCCTGTAAGGGAATTCTCTGGAGAAGGAAGCAGCTGTAAGGGACGCAGAGCTCAGGGATAGTGCACCTGCCCAATAGACGGGGCTCGGCTAGGCCAGCAGTGTCCACTACAGCCCCCAAAGAGCCCAGGGGTGTGCCTCCGCCCTCTGAGCTTTGGGTGGTTCTAGTGTGCCTCGTGGGTCCAGAGGAGAAACTGAGGCAGAGCTGTTCACTGGGATGCCATCCTCTCTCCCCTCTTTCTCCACCCGTTCCTTGCGTCAGGGTACAAATGGTGGCGTAAGGTAGCTCCTTCTGCCTTGTCCTCCTGAGGTGGGGTAAGAGTGAGGGGGCTCTGCTCCGAGGGTAGGGGTCTCCCTTATCTACCTCTGTCCCATCACCGGCCATGCTCAAATGCCCATACCTTTCCTTTCAGCCATTCCTCTCACTGCTTACGGACCAATGGCGGCAGCGGCGGCAGCGGCGGCTGTGGTTAGAGGAACAGGTGAGGTCTTCTGGGCCGCAGGTCATAAAGGAGGGAGCACGGGGGGCAGAGCGTAGAGAGGAGGGGCTCACCCCTTTCCAGAGGGGCTTCTTATTCATTCGCTCACAAGTGTTAGCTGAGCACCCACTATGTGCTAGGCATTGTGCCTTGGGATCCAGCTAGGACTTGGACTGATGTGACCTCTGCCCTCCAGTACTTACAGGCTGGTGGGGCATCAGGTATTAGAAAAGCAATACTACTAAAGAATGATAACTGCCTTGCTGGGGGAAGTTAGGTGCCAGAGACGCTCATAGCTGGGGCCTCAAGGGAAGCCCAGGGAAGGCTACCAGGAGCCAGGGTCTCTTAACCTCAGACTTGGAGGCAAAAAGGAGGAGGAATAGTGTTCCCAGCAGAGGGAACAGCATGTGCAAAGGCTTAGAGGCCAGTTAGCGTGGGTATAGATTGGGGGATCAGGGAGTTGAGAGAAGGAGATAGGGGGAACCAGGCCTGGGAAGAAGACATCAAACATTTTAGGCAGCAAGGTGACATAGGTCAAGTTGTAGGAAATGCACCCCATGTACAAGGTTGGAAAGGATTGGATAGCGCTGGAGGGGAGAGGTGAGGAGACCAGTGAGGAGGCTGCCAGGTGACTAGAGACAAGAGAAGGAGGGGGCCTGAACTAGCAGTGGTGGGTGGATGGGCTTGGAAGGCTACCCAGGAGGTGGACCTGCAGGACCTGCTGGGGTGTAGGGAAGGGGTCAAGGTCAGGGTGGGTGGGTGGGGCCGTGCGGAGGCAATGAGCACCGGGGCTATCACCGTCTTCTTTCTGGGTTGTCAGGCTCTCACCCCTGGACGATGGCTCCCCCTCCAGGTTCGACTCCCAGCCGCACCGGGGGCTTCCTGGGGACCACCAGCCCCGGCCCCATGGCTGAGCTCTACGGGGCAGCCAACCAGGACTCGGGGGTCAGCAGTTACATCAGTGCCGCCAGCCCCGCCCCCAGCACCGGCTTCGGCCACAGTCTTGGGGTGAGTGGCCGGGCTCTGGGAAGCCCAGAAGTTGAAAGAAAGAGAGACCTCGTCAGTCTGCAGGGCAGAGAAGGGACGAGGGATATGAGTAGAGAAAGAGGATTGTTAAGAGGGGAGAGTGGGAGTTGTCACCCACTCATTGGGCATTTAATAATGGTCCTCTGTGTCCCTGGTATTAGGTGGACATTAGGGATCCTGGGTGACACACAGTCAAGCGCTCAGACACGAGTCAAAAGGTTGGCAGTTCAAATCCACCCAGAACACCGCAGGCAGCAGGCAGCCTGGTCACGTGCTTCTGAAAGGTCACAGCCTTGCAAACCCTGTGGATTTGATGTCTGCCCTCAGGGCGCTATGAGTTAGAACCGACTCAACGGCAGCTTACACCACCAGGAATACCGTGTGGAGGGAACACGCCATCTCTGCCCACGTGGAGCTCAAATTCGAACTTAGGGATCCCCGACTTTTACCAGGGGGCTGGTTATGTACAGATTTCCAGGCCCTACCTGAGAGCTTTTTTGTAGGGCTGGAGAAAGCTCTGTGCTTCACCTCAGGGTTCCTGCGGGAGGGCAGGGGCCCCCCCAGGATTGCTCTCCTTTTCACAGGAATCTAGGAGTGAATTTTTTTCCTTCCCAGGGCCCCTTGATTGCCACAGCTTTCACCAATGGGTACCACTGAAGCAGGGGACAGGTGGCAGGAGGTAAGGAGAGTGGGGGGTGACGGTACAGGGTGGAGGGTGGTACCCAGGGAATCTGGGACACCACCCCGGCCCCCACAGAACCCACAGTGGGGGAGACAGACATGAAAAGATGCTCAACCTGCTGCATTTTAAAAGGTGAAATCAAGAGCAGTGTCACACCTTACCTATCAGGTTGGCAAAGGGTTTTGAAGCTCCGTCATGCCCAGCGTGGATGAGGGCAGAGGGGAAGACCAACCAGAATGCCCATCAGAAGGAGAGGAGATAGCGGATAACGGTTGAACAAGACGATGGGCGTGATAAGTGTCACTGAATTGTACATGTCAAAAATGTTAAGATACAGGAATTTTATTACAATTACATGCACCACAGAGAAAGGCAAGCAGGAAAACAAAACAGAACTAGGGTGCAGTCGAGTTGTGGATGGACACAGAAGTGGGTGCACACACCCAGAAAGAGCAGTGTGAGGAGGGGTGCAGTAGGGACAGGATGGGGTGCTGTGTGGACTGCTGACACTTCATCCATTCCTTCAGGCGAATGTTCACTGGGGAGTGAACTAGGCCCCTCTCTCAGTCTACAGTCAGCAGTCAAGTAAACAATGGTCTGAAATAGTGTGTGTGGGGGGTGGGAAACCCTGTAGATAAGGGGTGCAGGAAGGCAGCAGGGAGGGGGTGATATTTGAATAAATTTAGTATCTGGGGGGAGAGCATTCAAAACAGGGAAGGGCACAGCTCACCTAGAAAGCAGGGCAGAGGAGGAGCAGGAGCGGGGAGCCTCAAATAGAGGCCAGACGCCCCCTAATCTCTCTGCTGTGTCCTCAGCACCCCAGCCTGCAGCTGACTGAGGACCACAAGTGAGCCAGCCGAGGGGGCGGGGACACCTCAGCCACAGCCGCCACCCCTCCCCCGCAGCGACTCGGAGCTACTGCCTGTCCCTGTCCCAGGCCCCTGCCCTGCTGCCCCCCACATCGTCTCGCCCCCCTACTAACCTTCCCCTCTTCCGCTCTCACCCCCACCCCCCTGCTCGCTTTTATTTATTTTGGATTAGCTGGTTGTCCCCCACCTGGTTCCCCTTTCTCGGGCCTGCGCCCTTCCGTCCCCACCACGCCCCCATAGGACCCCCAAGAAGGCTTTTGTGTTTGTGCATAGCTAGTGAGGGCGGAGGGAGCCTGCTAAGGCGGGCAGCAGCCCCAGCCTTGTTTTTTATTCTGATTTTTCCTCCTTTTTTTTTTTTTTTTTTTTTTTCTTTTTTTTTAAAAAAAGAGAAACCGTTTTTAAACTATTTCTAGGTTTGTGAATGTGAAGCCCCAGGCCACAGGGGGCAAGGGGCCAGGCGCCCCCCCACCAGCTGAGAACAAAGTGTCTGTGTGGGTGAGGGTCCCTGGCCGCCGCCCCCCGGCCTGGAGAGGACAGGGCTGCGCAGGCCAGGCCGAGCCCCTGGACCGGTCCCTGTCCTGTATCATATGTAAATACTGTGAGGTGAAGCCCACCCCTCTCCGGACCCCTGGGCTGAAGGCATCGACTCCCCTGTGTTTCTGTCCCCTCCTCAGACACCGTTACTGTAAGCTTGTAGGAGTCCGCTGTGGCTGCAGCAGGCCGGCTCTCTCAGGCCCTCGGGGAAAGGCCTGGGGTCTCCTCACCCCGAAAACCCAAGCGTGGGGGCGAGGGAAGAAAAGGGCTTGCCTGGAGCCACTGCTGGAAAGGAATTACTCTCCAAAGGTGCCCCCTGTCCCCTGCCCAGGTTAGGCCCTCCTGGCTTCTGCTCTGAGCCTCCCGCCCCCACGCGTGGGCACTGGGGATATTTTGGGAAGGGGCGGACCCCAGGGGAAAGCAAAGCTTCTCAGGGAACCCCCACATTCTCTCACTGAAGTTTCCCACCAGAGCCCCCTTCCAAGGAGAAAGAGGCTCAGGGTCTGAATCTTGGTGACCAGTGGCAGGGCTGAGGACCCCCGTGGTCTGCCCCTCCTCTGGCTCCCCCTCCCTCAGGCCTGAGGCTGGGGGCCTAAGCGCCCTTCCCCCTCACCCCCCACCCCTCCAGCCTCCCTTTGGAGAGTTAATTACCCGTGTGAGGTGCGTAACCTATTAGCCCTGAGAACACAAAGCAATAATCTTTGTTACTGAGACTCTGGCTGTTTGTGTTTTTTTTTTTTTTTTTAATGTTTCCTAATAAAAGAGAAGCTGCATTTTATTGGTTTTTATTTTTAATTTTCTACACGTTTGAGCTGAGTCCTAAGGGACTTGGCCTCTCTTTTTTCCCCTCCCTCTGACCCTCCCACTCTCTGGGCCCACGCATGGGCTCAGGAATTCCCTTTTCTGATTTGTTTGGGGTATTTTTTTTTAAAAGATGTTCCATGGTGTTTCAAAGCCAGCAAAGTTACCACTCTCCAATGTCTCATCTCTCCATGTCTGTAACTTCTTTTTCCAGGTTTTATTTTCAGTTTTAAATTCCTAATAAATTATTTGAAAACGGTGCCGGGCTCGTGTGTGTCTGCGTGCATGTGGGTCGAGGTACATCCGGGAACCCTGTTTCCTCCCGGCACAGACCCACTTTCCTCCTGGAATGGGTCTCACTTTACACTTGACCCAGCTTCCATCTCCAACTTCTTGTCAGCCTCAGAGTTTACCCTAGGACCCCCTTCCCTGGTTTGCCTTTAATGCAGAGAATCCTAAGAGGATACGGTGGGGAAAAAACAGCTCAGATGGGGATGTGGGGTTGTTAGAAGCCTGGGTTTCAACTCCGACTCCTCCGAGCTCAAGGGCACGTTCTTTGAAGCTCAGTTTTCTCATCTGTCAAAGGGGAATGAAAGAAGCCGGTCACATATTGCACGATTCTGTTTATATAAGTCACATATTGTATGATTCCCAGCCCCACTGGTGGATTCCGGCTCAAAGCGCCCCTAGTGGATAGAGTAGAACTGCCCTATGGGGGCAGGCTTCATGGGAGCAGACGCCTCATGTTTCTCCCTCGGAGGGTTCGAACCACCCACCTTTTGGTTAGCAGCCCAGTGCTTTTACCACAGCGCCACCAGAGCGCCTTTGTATGATTCCATGTATACGAAATATCCAGAAATAGGTAAATCCATGGAAAACAGCAGCTTGATGATTGCCAGGGGCTGGGGGAGAAGCAAATGGGGAGTGACTGCTTAATGGGTACGGGGTTTCTTTCCTTTTTTTAAATTGTGATTTGGGTGAAGGTTTACAGAGCAAATTCACTTTCCAAACAGCATTTCACATACACTTTGTCTCATGACATTGCCCACAATTTACCACAATGCAATAGCTCCCCTCCCACTTCCTCCTGATAGTTACCTCTTCCCTGTGTCCATCCCTCCATGGACTCCTGCCCCCTGAGCTGTCTCCCTGTGCATAAGCAGCCCTTCTTTCTCCCATGATTGTTCTCTCCAAGGAGTGTTATCTACCTCAGGTAAATGTTCAACTCATATGCCTGTCTTTTGTTTGGCTGGAAACCACAGGTGTGGGTTCAATTCCAGACCTGAAGGGCAGCTAGGGGCCATAGTCTCAGTGGTTCCACCAGGCTCTATCAGACTAGCAAACCTGGTTCCCCTTTTTTTGTTGTTGTATTTTAACAGGGTTTCTTTTTGAGGTGGTAAAAATGTTCTGGAACTAGACACAAGTGGTGGTTACATAACACTGGGAAGGGACGAAATGCCACGAAATTGTTCACTTGAAAATGGTTAATTTTCACACTCCCTAGACCGACCGACCGACCGACCGACCATATGAGGTCGAAAGGGCAGCGTTTGCGCAGGGATACAGCTCAGAAGGCAGGAAGGGATAAGAAAGAAAGATGAAGAAAAGTGGGAAGAGGAGTTTGCATTGTGATAGCAACTGTTTTGGTTACCTCGATGCTGGTCTAACAGAAAATACAAACAGGTGGCTTAACAAACAGGAGTTTTATTCTCTTACAGTTTAGGAGGCTGGAAGTCTGAGTTCAAAGTGCCAAGCTCTAGGGGTTGGGTGAAGGCCCCTCCACCTTAGGCTTCATCTCTGCCCCTTGTTCCCAGCCCACTGAAGCCAGAGGCTTAACTCAGGCAGCTGCAGAGCCCAACAAACCCAAGGTTGACAAATAAAATGGCACAGTCCCAAGATTATCAAACAACATTACAGAACGCTAGTTCCAGTCCAGAGACAGCCCCAAGATCAGCAGGCAATATGGTAGGCCAGTTACTGATGCCTAGGTCAAATACAAATCCAAGTGTGCCAAAAAGCTTCAGAAACCTTTCTCAACACTTCTCCTTTATTGGAAGCAGACCACATCCCTCAGGCAGCTACTCAGCTGCCCCAGTAGATTCCACCATGGAGCTGATTACCAATCTCATCGTGGGGATTAACTGCCTGCAGCTGCCCAGCCTCTCAAAACCAGGCCCAGCCAAGTTGGCACACAAACCTAACTACGACAGCAATCAACGTCACAAAACAAAACGTGTGTGAATTGTTGAATGGAAACCAATTTGCTCTGTAAACTTTGACCTGAGTCACAATAAAAAGGTAAAAAATAAAATGAAGTGGTTAATTTTATGCTATGTGAATATCACCTCAAAAGAGCGGGAGATAACAGAGTGGGCTGAGGATTAAATGAATGTATGAGTGCAGAGGACCCAGGAGCAGGGACGGCACAAAGGCCACTCACTCATCACTGAGTGGCCTGCCATGTTGCTTGCTGATCTCGGGGCTGTCTCTGGACTTGAACTAGTGTTCTGTTGTGTTGTTTGATAAATCTTGGGACTGGGCCATCAATTGATTCCGACTCACAGTGACCCCCATTGGGTTTCCGAGGTGGTAATTCTTTACAGAAGTAGATTGCCTGGTCTTCTTTTCGTGGAGTGCCTGGTGGGTTTGAACCGCCAACCTTCTGGTTAGCCATCAAATGCCTTAGGCACAGCACCACCACAGCTCCTTAGGCACACAGGAAGTACATGGGAAATTGTGTTAGGTGCCCGGGGGTCAGCTTTTACTCATAG